TTAGGTTCTCCCTTTTTGCAGAGCATCTGCCTGAGCAAGGGTCAATTTAATCTGAAAAGGTTAGCTTGATTGACTTGGAAAAGTGACTGGTTACTGCTCTTTTCCCCCTTTCAAGGGATATGAGCACTTTATGCATTATAATAGGCCTAACAAGGCAAGGATGGAAGACACCCCTTTTTTTTCCCTTTGGGGAAAAACAACCAGGAGATGCCCTTCACTCAGGTGGCACTTGGTCCCCCCTAGTGGTGCAATTCAGAAACTCCAGGAGAGAAACCTTTCCACCTACTTTTCTTTCCCCACTCCTCTCTCTCTCGAACTTGTTCCTGCTCTATCTCTTTTAATTAGAGCTTGATAGTTAAACATTGTAGTTGGGTTCATCCGAGCAAACTCATACATGCATGGAAATTGATTTCAGTTCATGATCCCCCCTTTTCCCTCTGCTTTTTCTTTCCCTCTTTTCCTTCCAATCTTCCATTCCCTCTCCCATTCTCCTTCCTTTACAACTGATAGAAGAAAATTAGGCTCAACACTCCATCATGCAGGTGCTGCCTCCAACTTCCTTAAAAAGACCCCCAAAGCACAAGAAATAAAACCAAGAATCAATTAATGGGATGTCATCAAACTACAAAGCTTCTGCACAGCAAAGGAACCTGAAGAGAGAGCCTACAGAATGGGAGAAAACCTTGGCCAGCTATTCGTCCAAGGAGGGATTAATATCCAAAATAAACAAAGAACCCCAAAACCTTAACATCAAACAATCCCCCCAAAACAAATAACACAATCAAAAAGGGAGCAAAAGAACTAAGTGGAAACTTCTCAAAAGAAGAAACACAATGGCCAACAAATATGTGAAAACTATTCAGCAATTCTAGCAAATCAAAACCACATTAAGGTTTTGTCTCACTTCAGTCAGAATAGCAATGATCAAGAATGTGAACAATAATGCATGCTGGTAAGGTTGTGGAGAAAAACGTACACTCTTACATTGTTGGTGGAACTGCAGACTAGTACAATCAAGAGTGGAAATTCATTAAAAACAACCAACCACCACCAACAACAATCTAGGAATGGAACAATTGTATGACCCACTATCCTACTCCTTGGCCTTTTCCCCAGAGATCTAAAATCAGCATACTACAGTGACACAGCCACATCAATGTTTATAGCAGCACAATTCACAATAGCTAAATTATGGAGTCAACACAGATGTCCATCAATAGATGAATGGATTAAGAAACACACACACACACACACACACACTCACACTGGGATGGGGATTGGAGGGAGTGAATCTGGAAAGGGAGAGCATAGGGCCAGGAAAGAAAGGAGAAAGGTGCTGGGAGGGGAGAGGGGAGCCCAACAGTTGTCAGACCTGCTCATGAGGACTGGGAGAAGAGATTGTCAGTTGAGGATATTTGACAGAAATGCTGTCAGATGTGAGAACCCCCCCTATACCCCTGATCCCACCTGTCCTTCTGATCAATCACATTTAAACTCTACTCTTGCTAGAATTTTGTTTCTGAAGAAGGGAATAAGAAAATAGTTCATATAAAGGTCCATGATTTTTACTAATAGAAGTCCTGTTTTCTCTTTACCAAATATTGAATATTCACGTTTTTAAATGCAGTGTCAGATTCTTAACCACTCAGGGAACTCACACCTGGGCTGACCCTACTGCTTGGGGCTTTGTGTTTCTAACACTTAATTTTAAGTGCTGGGAATTGAATCCAGGACCCCATGTGTGCCAGGCAAACACTCTATCACTGAACCACATCCCCAGCCCTATATGCATCTGAGATGTCCTCCCTGAGATTGAGGGATAACAAATTCTCAAAATCTTATAGGGTAAAGGGGTTGTATTATTTTGTATGACAAAACTAAATGTAAGAGCAAGAGATTGGGATATTGTGGTTTAGCACCATATCAGGAAAGCCAGGTAGGGCTTCAAAACAACTATTCTAGAGTCAGACGTGCTTCATAATTCCACAGGTATTTTACCTATAGAGTTGAGGTCCTTATTCCAGAGGTAAGAAGGTTGGCTAAGATAATTGTACACATTGATAAAAAGCCCTTCCCCTCTGCCTGTGAGGGTTGTGGGGAAATGTCACTGTACTTGCCAAATAAGTAATGGATAGTCTGTGTAAGAGAGATTACTAGGAGGAACACAATGTGGGACCTGCAGAGAGCTGGATAGAATGGGTTAAGAAGTGAACAGTGAGGAAATGGGGCTAGGCAGGTTCTTTGGTGTTAAAAAAAAAAAAGCAGGAAAGTAGGAAGACTCTGTTGCTCTGTTGGGTAAAGCAAGCATGAATGTTATTTTCCCAAAAGAAGGAATCTGGAGCTGTATTTACTTCCTAGTGGGTGCTGCTGGGTATGCTTCTGATTGGTTTATACTCCTTTCAGCAGCAGAGGGAAGTAGAGAGTAAAAAATGATATGGGCCGAGAACAATAGGCAAGTGTAAAAAAAAAAAAAAAAAGCATAAAAAATTCAAGGTATTCATGGAAATACTTTTGGAAATCTCTGTAGCAGGCAGGCCACACTATAAAATCATTGGTGATTAAGGGGAAGACAGACTTCAAACTCGAGACAAGAGAAAGATGAGAAAACATTGGATGAAGAGAGATTTGTATTTTCCATGAAAAAAAATGGCTTTTTTTTCCTGGATCCATCTTTGGCATGTGGCCTCTTACGTAAATGTGAAGCTCAAGTTCAAGGGCTGACTTTGTACCTTTTCAATAAGATGCTTTTCTCTAGACCTTGGAGATGAGGGGGACTGAGAATACCAGGCTGGAACAGAAGAGAACAGAAGCAGAAATCAGAACAAAATCTGCAGCTCCAGAGGAAACCCTGCCTTCCATGGTGCCCATGCAGCCTCTCTTCCTTAGTCAAGCCCTTCGTCACATTTCTGAGGATCCATTTTGAAAGAAGGACCTGAAGGCTGAGGTACACAAAGCCACAATGATTGCTGTCTGTGGGGGACATCGTGCATCCTCAGGCTGTTGGTCCAGCTACTATTCCCAGGAAGCCTGCTGATGCCTTAAGACAGGCATCTGCATTTCCTCCATGTGCTTCCATTCCCATGGCATCAGAGGTGGGGGAACACCTTGCTTTAACTATTGCACTTTCAGGGAAAAATTAGTTAAGTTCCCTCATAATCTGGTTTGGTATATATGTTTTTTAGCAGATAAAAATTCTGGGTATCAGCTTCCTAATGTGGACCTGAATCTGTGTGTGCTCAAGTGAGATTGTTTGATCTCAAACATCAAACCATTATGTGCATATTTTATTCAATAATTCCATTGTCTGAGTTTTACTCAATCTTCTCAGAATTGCTTCTCTTGCAGTTATTTTATTTTTTCTTTATCTGGTTCATTATTCAGTGTTGAACTAACACTAATGACGGAACGAACACCAATAAGGGAGGGAGAGGTAAGTTGACTTCTGAGTATTTGTCCCTGAAAAATTCCACAGAAGAGCACTTGGAAACACGGAACCTGCATGAAGGAGGCAGACCCCATCCCTCTCCAGACCCCCAGTTAATTCACCCCCTTTTCAGGTGCTTGCTATTTTGTTGAATATTTTGAAAACTCACAAGTAAATCCAAAAATCTATCTTTCTGTACATAGTAGCAGTACTGTGCAGGGTAGCCTTGGATGAGATAGGGAATTCCTTTTTGAACCTGGGCACTGACAAGTGAATGCAGGTAAAAATGAGTACAGTCAGCTTCTTCCAGCATTTATTTTCATTTGCCATTTATTTTTTATTTACTATAAAAATTGAATATTTATTACACAAAAAGTACTTTAGAAACAGTAAAATTTACCAAAACCTACTGAATCAAGGGATTCAGTAGGAATTTAAACCTGAGGGCCAAAAAAGTTGAACAGAATCTTATATTTTCTAATAACTCATTACCAGAAGCAAAAACCAATTATATACACATCCAAATATGTGACAAAGATAAAATAACAAATGCTAGATTTTACTGTGAGCTAACAAAAGAAAATGTCTCTACTCAAGATTGGCCCATTATTTCACTAAGAACAAAACATTTGAGGAATTTAAAAAAACTGTCTTGAACAACGTTAACATTTAGGCTGATACACAACGTATGTGCACAAATACATCCATTCTAATTCTATAACCCTTTGTATTTTTAAAACTGCACCATCTCTGTTAGAGATAATGTATACCATGCAAAAAGCATTCATACTTGTTTTTCTCAGCAATAGGAATAATTGTTAAATGCAAAATTTAAATATGAAGTTTAATTGTAAGCCATCTCAACTCAGAACTTTGGCTTATGTAGTCTGTGTTAATGTCTTAGTGTTGATGAAATTGTTTATGTAAAAAAATGTTGAAAGTAACTGTAGTCCATTACCAATGGTACTTAGTAGGTAGCTCCTGCTATTACAGAAGTGATGGACAAGAGACAGAAAGAGACCAATTAAATAGGATTGCAGGTTTTTTTCATTGCTTCAGCACTTCATATCCAGCTAAAGATAAGAAATAATTACCATTGAGGGCATTTTGTAACCATTATTTCATATATATGTCTTCAGAATACAAATCAGGATACAAAACACCTTGTCCTCTCTTTTCACTAGTCTTTCTCTTGTTTCCAGAAAGAAATAAACACAGATACTGAAGCAATGTACAGTAAATGAAAACAAAGTGGACCTACAGTTTTATTTTCATGCTTTTGGCAGGGCTGAAGGATTACGAGATTAGCTCTAAATACTGAAGGGAAGCAAAAAGAACTATCCAGGTATTATTATAGGCATGGGCTTTGCCCCCTTCCAATAAATACATGTTCAGGTGCCACTGAAAATCCTTTAGAACTAATATATTCTGTTACTATACAAGTACTGATCGAATTTAACAAGATGGGTGAGTGAAGAAGGAAAATAAAATACCTTTTATGAACAGGGTGTTGCTAAGAGAATATAAAAAGATGAACAGATAATTTTATTGAAATAATGCCAAATCCACAGAATTGTTCGATTATTTTAATGAACCCATCAATATTATGCAGTATTTTAATTAAATGTAGTATTTGAATCATGAAACACTTAAAGAACAGAATCAAAAATTTCTCCATCAAACAATATTATGCAAATAAACCAATGCAGCACACCTATTGGGACTCTTTCACAGCACTGAGATCCTGAGGATCTCATTTACCCTGTTTTAACATAAATAATAAGTGATAGTAAAATATGATGACACTCAAGGGGGAAATGTCAAGACTGAGAGTAAAAAATAAAAATATAGTACCTATGTGACACACAGATATACCCTGATATAGGTTAGGGGAAAGAACACTAAATCTTTGCAGGAATGATCAAAAAACACTTAATGGTTTTCTTTTAAATGTCATAAACTAATAGAACACTTAAGTTATGAATTTTAAAAAAATTGCTATCCTTCAATTAATCTACAATCTCTTGCAATTTTGGAAAAAATATTAAATATATCCAAAACCAATAAATTACAATTTGCACTCACGGAATATGTGTGTCTCTGTGTCTGTGTGTGCATGCAAATAAAATGAACCAATGCTATTTTTAGTACAAGTCATAAACGTTTTAAACTTAATTCTCTATACTTAGATTTTGGAAAATACACTCTTGGAAATCAAACCCAACTAAAGCCTCGTAATTATAATCTAGCAAACTTCATTTAAAAATTCTCTTAAGTGAATATCTATGCTTGCAAAATAAAGATCTGCTCCAACAATGTAGTAAAGGTGGTATCAACACCGTATTATTTCATAGGTCAAGCAGTGGTGTCATTGTTTACTGTGTCAGTACTGTGTTGTTTCAAAAAGCTACTTAAACATTGATGTATAAGATTTAAATAAAAAGACATTTGAAAGTTATGGCATCAAGAGCAACAGTTTGCACCAGTAACTATACCCTAGTATGTGGAAAGTAGCTTATGTATTCATTATTGGTCCTGGGAGCAATTTGCTTGAATTTATGTAAATGAGGAGGAAGATTTAACCAATGGCTTTTGCACTTGAATGGAATCAATGACTAATCATGCAGGAGTTCTAGTTTGTCAAGTGAATGGTAGCAAATCTGAATTTTATTTTGAAAATACTTCCTGTAAAAGAGGATAAGATTTTTTAAAATACAAATTATGGCTAATTGTGTGGCCCAAATCAGTACATATGACAATTCTATTGGTAAGCACTAAAATAACCATCAACTCACATTTTAAGAAATAAAAATAACAAAACCTTGCATATAGTCAGAATCTGTGAAGTCCTAGAAGAAAGTTTGATCATTATGCCTGGTTCCCTGAGAACTTCAGTGTTCTGGTTAAAGGCAAGTTTTGGTAAGAAGTATATTTTTACACTGTTCCTTCCCATTCAGAATAAGCAATAATGTATGAGGCAGCTTTTGGTGCTCAGGATTCTTTACAGCTAAAATTTCATTTAATGTGAATAATTCTTTTCTCTGAACTTCATTCAGTCCAGGCATGTGCGGCAGATGAGAGAAACTGTATTTACTGTACTTTAATATTTTAAAGACTCATTTTCATCTTTCTGGAACAATGCAAGGAAAACATATACTGCACACAATTTCATGTTTACAGTACCCTTTACCCATCATGTCTTCCAGTTTTTTTCTAGATGCAGTTAACAGATTACTTCAGAGTTGTATCCAAAATGAGGTGGCATCATAATGCTTAGACCCACTGGAGAAAAACATATTAAAAATGTACATTTCCCAAAAGTGAGTCAGTTGATTTTATTCATTTAACATGATGCACAATAATATAAGGCCAAACACAAAGCTCTTTATAAAAAGGAGCAAAATGTATTCCAGAAGAGTTAAAGACATGAGATGAATTTCAGTTAAATGGATCTTTGTGAGCTCGGAGAGCTCATCTTAGACACTGAATAGATGCTGAATGTTTTATTTTATAATCATATCTCGAGATCATGCAGATGGAGGAAAAAAAAAACATTTTGCTTTAACATTTACTAAATCACTAACAAAGTATTTTGAAATCAATTTTAAAATCCAAATCTGTCCCTCTCCCCTCTATCACAGTTTTTGTAAATAACTAAGAATTGTACCCGTACAATTACACAGAGACTAGGGAAGAGAGAGGTAGTTGATGTGGCCATCCTCTCACAAGGAAACCCCCCGAATATTTTAGGGCACAAAACACAAGGCTTTTGTTATCCAAGAGTAATTAGTTGCAGAGTACAAAAACATTTTGGAGCAGCGTGCACAAAAACTTGAGAATCATAAACAGCCCAAACCAAGTATCATTAGTTCTTAAAGAAATGCTATGTTCTCTGTACCTTACAAAAATTATTCTCACAGATATGGAACCCGAGACCATACAATAGAAAATATTTATATATTTTATATAAAAAATTTTAACAAATAAAAAAAGGCTTTGATGATAGATAAGAAGAAATTTTCAAGAATTCATTAATTTTCAGGATGCCCTGAGGGTAACATGTCCTATGTACCCTGGCTCCCTGTTCTAGGCAAAGGCCAAAGATGGGCGTTTTCTCAGGGATCCTCATGGTTGATGAAAGAAACCAGACTAAGGAAGACTTAAGCAAGCTGGGAAAGGAAGTAACAATTAAGCCAAAAAGGAATTCTGCCAAGCATAATATACCCTGCCTAAAAAAAAAAAAAACAAAAACAGTAGGAACACAAATCAAAGACAGTGGTGCATTTACATCAGGGAAATTTATATTGATGAGTTTTTATAGTTGTGGTGATAAATATCAAAACAGGAAGTCAGTTAAAACAGGTGTGCAAATAAAGAAATGGAGATGGGAGGAGGAGGAGGAAAGAAACCTATACTATCCTAAAGGGAAAAATTGCTAAGTAAAGATTCAGTAATTTCACACTCCTCAACCCATCCTCAATGGGTACTTCTTACATCTTAATAAGTTAAAGATCAATTATTCACAAAGTTCCAGTTCAGTGTTTATACTTTTTACCTGTTTAACTTAGGGCAAGATATTGAGTGGCTTTAATAAGATATTTCGTTAGGATGCATCACAATTATCACCCATGTTTCATCTTTATAACTTAGGAAAGTTTATTTCTCTTTTAAAGCCCTGGGGCATACGTTTAAAAATGCCTTTGCAGCACAGGTCTCTGATCAACATTTATCTAAGCAAGTCTGCAAACGTTCTGTCACAGGGAGAGGAAGAGTATTGAGCAAACTATCCTCGACGATCAGACAGCTCCGTTTCAGGGCCTGACACCCTTCCAGCTCTGGAGGCAGCATTTCCAGGTAATTACCAATGAGCTCCAGATGAGTGAGGTTCGACAGCTCACCCACATGAGGGGACAAATCCGTCAGGCTATTTCTCCCCAAGAATAAACACTGTAGCTTCTTACACTGAAACAGTCCATCTGGCAGTGTCTCGATCTGCAAAAGAACAAAAACAGCTGGTGAGATTGGGTTGGATGGTGTAGGATAGTACATTCACTTGCTAATGCCCTAGCTACCTTTCCTGGAAACATGTCTGCAGGCTTCTAAGACACACATATTAATGGCAATAAATATGAGGTAGCTGAAGGAGAGAAAGGAAAATTAGGGTAGGGGTATCCCATGGAGCCAGGACCCAAATGTGTAAGCCCCGCTGTGCATGGGTGGGCAGCTCATTGGGCTCTGACCATCCTCACAAGAGTCAAAGAAAACATACTTCCATCCTCATTGTGCCCAGGATTAAAAGATCATTATTCTTGAGTTCCAAATCAGAAATAAATTATTCTCAAGAGTCCTTGTAAAGATGAGCAACATCCTTGAAAACATCCTAAGGGCAGACACAAGGCTATTTCTTATACTTTTCTTTTTTCCTATCCACAGCCCTTTTTGAGATAGGGTCTTGCTAAATTGCCGAGGCTGGCTTCAAATTTGTGATTCTTCTGCCTCAGCCTCTTGAGTTGCTGGGATTACAAGTGTGTGCCACCATACCCAGTTCTCTTATACTACTTTTCTCAGTATAGATTGCAATTTGATTCTGTTTTTAAAAGAAGTCTATAGAAGTAGAGACAAAAACATATAAGATAGACATGTACACTTCAGTTCCTTCTACATACATACACCTCTGAATGTTTATCTTTCTTCCTGTTCTCTGGCATGGTTTCAGTTGAATAATTCATGTAACAGAGAGGCAATTTTAAATATGAAAAATAACCTGCAAACTAGGTCAACTCCTAGAGCTGCTCCACTTGACTGCTCCCCTCTATGGTGCATGGGTTGTGTGTGAGTTTCTAAGGGCACCACAGTGCATATATGAAGTAGGGTTCATTTTGGAGAGACCTCCAAATGAAGTTGAGCTCACATAGTCCCTCCAACTCATCACTCCACTGAGGGTGGGTTTGGGTCAGACTGCTAGACTATATACTTCACCTATAATATTCCACATATTAGCTGGGGACAAATGGCATCTATAAAACAGGGTAGGTTCCTGGGTACAGGAAGTGACTTTGCTAGATATAGGGGCTTCCTGCATCCTCTGATGGGCTAATGCATACTGACTGGGCCAGTTCTGTTGGCAGGCAAGCTTCTGGAGCCATCCAGAACTCTCTTCTTAACAGGATAAATACTTTTCAAATGAACTTAAAAATTAGTTACAGTGCACTAAAAAAGTGTTCATTATATTATATAATAAGCTCCCTTTCCTATATAACTAACATATATTCAGTGATGAATATCCTTAAAAGTAAATCACCATTCTTAAGACCAACATTCAACACAGATCATCACTGTAAACACCAAATAGTAGGTATAAGCAAAGGAGAGATATCTATACATTTATTCATTTCTTCTCAAGAGCAGATGCATACACACACACACACACACACACACACATTTTAACATGGAGAGAGAGGAAACAGAAATGACAGAGACAGAAGAAATGCAGTTCTTTTTTAAAGCAACCCCTTCTGCTCAGAGACACTTGCAGCTCAGAAGCAGGGTCAAGAATGTACATGTGGAGGAAGATATTCAGGCCTGTGCTGTGTGTTCAGGGGTGAGGGTCCCTGTTGGTACTTAAGTGAAAACAGGGAAGTCTTGGCTCATTTGTATTCAGTAAATATGTGCCGAGTATCTCATATAAGTAAGTGCCAGGCTCCTGGCAAGGTGCAGGGGATGAACTTTTGAGCAAGACTGATGGCCTTCCAGAATATTCATCTAAGGCAGGCTGCCATGAACATCTCAACCTTGGCTCTACTGACATTTTGGGTAGGATGATTCTTGCTGTGGGGCTGTCCTATGCATTGTTACGTGTTTAGCAGCATTCCTGCTCTCTACTCCCCAGGTCCAAGAACCAACAATATCTCCAGAAAAATGTCCCCTGAGGGAGAATAGTACCCCCACCCCCAATTGAGAAGCATTGGTTTAATGGGAGAGAAAAACATTAAATGATTGCACAATTATTCTGCAATGGGTGGGATAAAAAAGAGTGCCCTGACCTGAGTTGTATCGGGGAATCCCAGGCCTTCCATTAACTTCAGATTGCCAGCAATTGCTTAATGGGACTGATTTCCTACTGGGTGATTACCCTGAAGCCATGCCCTCACTCTCTCTGTCTGCCTGCCTGCTCTAACACATTCCCACCTAACTTCTTTCAAATTGCCGAATCTGTGATTTTAGTGGTCTTTTCATTGCTCACTAAAGGAGAAGGGCTTCACAAGGTAGGGGAGTGAGCCTTTGGGGCTAGAGGCTAGAAGGTCCCTCAACAGTATTACTGTAAATGAGTTGGGGGCTGTGGCTGGGGCACCCCCTCCCACTCCATGTCAGTGCCCAACTGAGGAGAAGGGCCTTAACTCACCAACTTGAATTCAACTTTCCTCAAGGAAGCTGGGGAGCTTCTTAAGAAACTCTCCTTCAACTCAGGAATTTTATACTGAAAAAAACCTGCTTACAAACTTTAAAAAAGAGTTTGCCTTGAAGGTTATATATTTTTGCCTACCATCAATAAATTTTATAAAAATGTTTCATATCATTAATTTAAACCTAGTTCATTTAGTATGTTCCTTTCCTAGACTTTGACACATGAGCCAGAGAGAAGGAAGTAAGTATCCTACTGGTTTCCTCTCCAAAAAATGAGAAAAATTTATAGACCATTAGGGCGATGATAAACTTTATAAACAAAATGGTGTTTGAAAGCAAACTATAATATATAATATAAACATATATAAAATAAACTGAAAAAACTAGAAAAACTAATGGCTACAGCTCTGGCAACCAAATGTCTTCAGCAAAATGGACTGGGGGCTCTGGTACAGATTATTCTCTTTCTCTATCTCCATTTGCCATTGATTATTAAATATTCCACTGTGTCCCAAAGACTGAGTGGGACTTTCCTTCAGAATCCTTCTCAAGGTTAGATTTTCTTTCTTCCTTTTTTGCGGGGGAAGGGGGGGTCAATGCCATATACTACCTCAGGACATGTTCTTGTTTTCTTCTATTCTTCTGTGGTGCTGGGAATTAAACCCAGGGCCTTGCACATGCTAGGCAGGTGCTCTACTACTGAGCCTCACCTCCCAGCCCAGCACATAGTAACAAAACCGATAAATTCAATCATTTCAAGAAACAAGGCTCAACATTTCCAGTTTTAAGTAGTGATGTCAAAACAACAAGAAGCACTGTCACACTGTACTATAGAGAATTTCTATGTGATTCCCTTTCTGGTTAGAGTTTTGAGTTCATAAAAGGTGCATAAATGTGGAAGTTGAAAGACCTGGGTGTAAAATGCAATGGTTTCGAAGATTGAGCACATCTAGTTAAATCCCTCTCCCCACCTTGTGTTTCTCCATCACTATTGATGCCACAATAACCTGGTACCTCTGTCACTGGGAGAGGGATGGATCCTGCCTCTTCCTCTCTCACCTCACACTACCACACACACACTGCTGTTGCCCATAAGGCATCTTTGAGGTAGATATACTTGAGATATAAGCTCAGGGAAACAAGAACTGGAACACGTGGGCTCAACACCAGCTCCATCCTGGAAGCTTCAGACCTCAGGTCAATCAGTCTGAGCCTGTTTCCGTGTTGGCAAAATAAGGGCAGTGGCCTAGAGTAGGGGTTGGCAAAGGTTTTCTTTAAAGGACCAGAAGAATAAATATCCTAGGCTTTGTGGACCTAAGAGGAAAACCTAAAGACATTATGTAGGTACTTATGTAACAAGAGAGAAGAAAAAATTATATGCATTTTTAATAAAATTCAAAATATAACAATTACGCATATATTTTTTTGTAATATAGGCCCAATAATGAAAAGAATTGGATTTATTTCTGGGCACTAAAATTTGAATTTCACATAATTTTCATGTGTCATGAAACATTATTCTTTTTTGACAATGTAAAAACAGGCTATGTGCAGATTTGACACTCAGGCCATAGGCTTCCAATCTCCAGACTAGATCAACAGTGTTCCTTTAATATATGAATCTTTGTCTCGTTTTAAAATCTACATTCCTACTTCTAAATCATAACTGGTTAGGCCTTTCCATGGGGTTTTGCTTCTTGGTTGCCCTCTCCCAGCCCTTTCAAGCACACAATCAAAGCCTCCTTTGAAGGAACCAGTTCAGACTAACTAGCACTTTCAAGTGTCACCCTAGTGACTGTCAGATGAATCAAACATGAACTAGGCGGGCAGACTCCCAGGTACTCCCCATTCTGACCCACTCTGCTATATGCTCTTATCTCTTATTACTTCTGGGCATCCTACTGCAATCCCCTGTGCATGACCTTTATCTTTCTACACATAGCCCCCATCCAGCTTTTCAGGGTATGTTTCATAGAACATTCCTCCCACAAGTTACTAGGAGAAAGGTGTCTTGCTCAAACACATTTGGCAGATGTTACACACCATCTCTCCCTCTTGGAGAAGCGTAATGTATTTCACATGTTAAAGGTACTGAGGAACACTGCAGCAAAAATATGATTAAGAAAGGAAACATTTAATTTTTTTTGTAATTTTGTTTTGTTGTTGTTTATGGTAACAACTATTACATCCTGTGGAGGAAACCCTGGCTTGCCTTGTCAATGAATACCTATCACCAGGGCCACCTGGGGGACTGCCCAACACTGTTCTGTGTCTAAAGAACTCCCTGAGACTTGGCAGAAATCAGAGCTTACTTCCCACTGGAGAAACCAACACCACCAGATTCTCGTGTCCCCAGCTCTCTTATAGCTAGTATGGGTGTTCAGAAACCGTGCCAATCAGGTGTTCAGACTTGAATCCTGAATTGGCTTCAAAGCCTTGTAACCTAAAGATCTCTCATTTATCTTAATGGACTCTCCCCTTTTACTTATAAGTTTCTGGTTCTAAAAAATCGGCATGAATTTTCTTCTCATTTCCCCATTTTGCTAACAACTACAGTTTTCAAAACCAACGTCTGATGATTATGATGTTCACTAGCCAACTCCATGCTCATAGCTATGTTTAGCAAAAAGAAAATGTGAATTACAAAAAGACTAGAAGATAATACATTTTGGGGTGGGTTAGAAGAAAATAGCAGTGCCCATTTTTCAAGTAGAGGAAGATCGGTTTCATCTTTTGGCAGGCCTGATTTATGTTCCCCTTCTCCCCATATGGACATTACCCTCACTCCCTTGCCCTTTAGAGTAGCAGGGATTTTTTCCTTCCTCCTTCACATTTTAACCTAGGAAACTACTCATTTATTTTGTTTTTTCTTGTTTCAGTGAAGTTACATTTTCCTTAACTTGGCTGTACTCTTGCAAATTATGGTTCATTTTTATACATGGATGCTGGAAAAAGCTTCCAAGAAGCCCCAGTATTGCATTATAGAGCCAGGCCTTTCATTTTGAATTGTCTTTCTAGATATTCATACAGATCTTGAGTCTTTTTTAACTGCCTTTCCAGAAGGATTTATGAATAATTCATAATCTTAGCATTTTTAAACAAAAAGTTACTTGGATGGCAGATTTGGAAGGCTGAAAATTAAACTTTCTGTGTGTGCAAGACAAAAAGTAAGCTCTACCACAATTAGTAAGTTTAAAACACTGTAACTATGATGTTTCTATAGAAAATGGAGAAAGAGAATAAAGAGAATTAACATTTGTCAAGCAACTATCATGTGCTAGAAACTGGGCCAATGTGTATATTTTATCATATAATCTGCATGACAAATCAAAACTTAATATAAGAAACTGATGTTCAGTGTTTTTGTAAATTGTCTAAGATCACATGGGCTGGGGCTCAAGCTCACAGAATGTTTAATATGTCATAAAGTCCATTTTCTTCTTCTATGTTACAAATTGCAAGCACAGCAGAGAGCCTCAAAAGACTGGCTGAATAAAGGATGGATTTACTTACATTGTTGTTGGTCACAGCAAAGTACTGCAAATTACTCAGATACTGGATTTCTTCTGGAATGAAGGTCAGGTGGTTATAGCTTAGATCCAAATAATATAGTTTGGTGCATAGAAAAAGCTGCAAGGGCAGATTCTCAATATTATTATGATCCAAAGAGAGCTGCTCTAGGTTAGATAATGCTCCGATCTGGGCAGGAATATAAGCAATGTTATTGTGCCACAGTTTTAAGCAGGAAAGATTCTGAAGATGCTGAAAGCTAATGATCTCTTCCACAGTTTTAAGGTTATTTTCCTTTAGGTCCAACTCATGCAAATTGTTCAGGCTAAAAATGGAGTGTGGAATGCGTTCCAGGTCACAGCTGATCAGTTCTAGGCTTTTCAAATTGACCATCTTTTTCAAGTTGTTCAGCACAACCAGTTTGCTTCCTTCATTGTCAAGGGACAGCTTCTGCAGCGAAGGCAGGAGGTCTGTGACCACCTGGGGGATCCGAGACAGGCTACTCTTCAAGTAGAGGGTCCTCAGATTTTTTAGGTCCTGAAAGCCCTCCAGCTGCATGGTACTCAACTGCTCTGGGAGAACACAGCCTGACAGGTAAAGTTCCTTGAGATTCTTCAGGTGAAATACCCAGCGTGGGATTTTCCCCATTTCAGTAAATTTCAGGCGGAGGATTTTTAAATTCTCCTCTAAAAAGGCCAGTGCAGGATGGTCTACCACCAGAGATGAATGGTATATATGAAGCTCCTTGAGGTTGACCAACTGCGAGACTGCAGAGGGCAGTTTGACCTCAGGGATAAGCTCTAGGCTGAGCACTTCCATTTCTGTTAACTCGAACACGTTGTCTGGAAGACCACTGAGCATAAAGAGATGCAGCTCTATCTTGTCCTGGGAGTTTTTCACAAGTTTACTTTTCAGTTTCTCAACCGTCCATTCGTTGTTAAGGTTGATCTGCTTCAGTTTGTTCTCACTGACCTCTGACAGGAATATGGAGAAGCGTTTGGAATAAAGTGGATCATACTGGTCAGCCAGATGGAGGATGAAGGCAAAGTCATTCTTGACGTCCGGGATATCACTGTAGTTGCTTTTTTCTCTTAACGCCTCAAAGGAATATTGCTTCAGGGAACTCCTCAGCATCCACCATAAGCTATAGGAGGAGGTGAGACCGTATAGTATTACCAAAATAACATAAAATGAAGCCAGGACTTTAAATATTTCTGCCAAGGAGTAGACACACTGGTAGCGCTTATATCCTGTAAAAGCCTGCACGTCGATTGAACAGTCAATTTCAAGAGTAATGTAGGTTAAAAAATATGGAACATAAGTTATGATAAGGACAAACAAAATGACTTTGACTATTATCTGCTTCAGATACACCCGGTAAATGATGTCCTTCTGCTCCACGTGCAGACGGAACCTTTTCACTTTCTCAAAGATGGCTTTTGCCTGTTCACCTTCCTTCTTGTCCAGGACACTGGAAGTTGGGCTTTCTATGCTGGCTGACTCCAACCCTGACTGTGGGTAAGGCAGGGACTGCTTGCTGGAGTCAACCTCAGCTGAACACCCTGAGGATGAAAGCAAAGTCTTGGACTTGGAGACTTTCAGGGGCCTCACTGACTGTTCAGCCACTGTTTCTGACAGGGCGCGGGTGGTCCATGGAGAATCGAAGCACTTGTGAAGGATGGCCACAAAATGCTCCAGCCTGGAACTGGTGCTGGGGTAGTGAAGCCAAAAGTTGCTGCAGGCTGCAAAGATAAGTGTGTGCAAGAGCACCAGGTAGGGGAAAAACTTCGCAAACCAATGGAGCTGTTTCTCGTAACAGACTGCATCGATGTAGGAGTACTGTTGTCGGTGGAGATCATTCTGGATTCGGAGGGGGAGCGGAAGCAGTGTCCCAGAATTAGAGGATGTGTTCACGCTGGCTTTCAGGAGGTCCCAAGGCACAGCGCAGTGATTGTCAAATTCCACTTTGCATGGGAGACAGCACAGGACCCTGCTCTGAGTGAGCTGGAGAGCTCCGGCCAGCACAGCCACCAACAGCATGATGAGGGTGATGTAATACCAGAAGACGTCCCACCATGGCTTTAAGATGTGATAAGATGACTGGGCGTCTGCTAAACATTTTAGCTCTGTTAGTGTAATCATGACTCTCCTTTGCACGAGTACAGAAACTGGTGAGGAAAAGAAAAGAAACACTACTGAAACAAATACTCACATGTACATTTCATTCTAATGCCTGTATGTACATTCCCTACCCAAGTAGATTTTTAGTTCAAGGCTGATCATGGGGCACATGAACCTTCTGGTTTCATTTGAAAACACAGGCCATACCAACCCTGCACTGTAAAGTCCCTGACATGGGGGCTCATTTGGTGATAGGTAGAGTGGATCTGTAAAGAAATTTGGGGGTAGTTCTTGGGGCAATTATTTAATTACCTCCCTGGTTTAAACTCCAGGTTGGGTTACTAAAATCCAGGAGCCATTTTTTTCTTGTTTTCTTTTTTTAAGTGATATGGAACAAACTTTCTTGTGCTACCAATTTCTAATGGTAACATTCCATGTTCTCTAGAAGGTCTAAGTAAGCTCCTTTCTGCATGGCACCTCATGTCTGGAACATCATTTATAACCTAAGTGTTGTTCTAAACACAAAAAGGAACTTTTTTTGTGTGTGTGCAAGGTTGGCTTTATAAGGGTTTCCCTCTTTGGCTTACAGGAATCTACCCATTTCTTCCCAAACTGTCACCGAATGTATCATCTCCTTTCCTCAGCTCTTGCTTTACAATTTAAGTATATGAGTATTTAAAAACACCATATTTGGGCTGGTGATTTGGCTAGTGGTAGTGCACTTGACCAGCATGTGTGAGGCCCTGGGTTTGATACTCAGCACTGCCCCCACCCCACCCCGTCTCCCCAAAAGAAAGAAAGAAAAACTGAGTATTTAAAGTTGGGAAATAAGAATAATGATTGAAAAAGGAACAGGGAAGAAAAACCCTGTTAGAATACTCAATCCTCGGGATTCAATACATTTTCTACTTTATAGTCAGAACAGATTCAACTTCCTCGGCTTGATAATGTGGCATGTTTAATGTCGTAATGGCGCAGTGCTAACAGATAAGTGATTAAGGCACACTCTATTATTATTTTTGCCTTTAGAAAAACAAGACACATTTTATATCTGTACCTTGAAAAGGATTCAGACAGTTCTCCTGAGAATTTCTGTTTAGCCACATTTGTATAAATTGTTTAAACAATTGCTAATTAGTAAAATCCAGACCACCTATAAGTTGGTGCAGAATAAGATAAAAGGAAACATTTGGAGCTTATGAAGTGTCTGATAAGAAAAAGAAAAAAAGAGACCATGGTAGCACTGTTGCTGTTTGCTGGAGAGTCCAGCTCTAATTGTGCTCAGGGGCTGCTCTTGGCTTTCTTTTTTTTTAATATTTACTTTTCAATTTTTGGTGGACACAACGTCTTTATTTATTTTTATGTGGTGCTGAGGATCGAACCCAGCGCCCCGTGCATGCCAGGTGAGCATGCTATCGCTTGAGCCACATCCCCAGCCCTGCTCTTGGCTTTCTTGAGTCTGATGTTTCTTTCCCGGGCCTGAGTTTCTTGTTAGATAACCTGTTACCTGTAGCACCCTCAAAAGAAACCTTTCTTGCTCTCATGGGAGACTAGTTCCTGCCTTTCAAGGAATCCCATCACAAAGGCATGCTGTTAATAAGCATCTTCTCTTTTGCAGGTCTGAACATATTCCTGACCATCTGACTCTGAGCCCTATTCCTTCATGCTCTCTACCTTTTGCTAGAAATCCCATGATCCCTGATTTTAATTTCTGAACTGCAGTGCCACTTTCTGCCTATATTCTCTCTGGGCATTTATTGAATATATGTATTCCACTTCCTCCTAAGCCCTGTGACTTGATTATATAACTTCTCCAGAGCTTCCCTCCCTTACTCTAGGTTAGTGGGTCTGACTCTCAATTCCTCCCATTCTGCATTGCCCCCACCGTGGTTAACCATAATTGCATGTCAAGACAAGACAAAAACCAAAAACAAGAGGATTACATGAGATAAATATGTAGTTGTGGACTTAGACCCCAAAATACCATAAGCATGATGGGTGGGGAGAATAGTAGAAATATTGCTGGATGAAAGAACATGTTAAGAATATCTATGAATTTTAACTGACATGTATGCATAATTTCAGCTACTTGTATAATAGCTATCATGCTAAAACAGTGATTTATAGCCTTTGGCCACATTAATTTGTGAACCCAGATAAAAGGGTGACAGGTCTTTTGTGCCTGTCTGGTGAAATCACACCTGGAACTTAATGCTCAGTTATGGGCTGAAGACAGAAAAGGCAACAAAATCATCAGGAGTTGCCATCTAAAACCATTCTCGGCAGAGGGATACAGGGAATCAATGACATTCAGCTGAGATAAAGGATGACTAGGAAAGATGAGAACTTATCTTTACATTTTTGTGCAATTACCTCATGAATAAAAGAAATAATGGATTTGTTTCAGATGCAAACTGGGTGGGTAGAAGATTTAGAGAGTTGCTTCAATTTGTTGGTAGAACATCAAATCTTTGAAACAGTTTAGCTCCCTTGTCACTAGCTGGGGCTAGATGAATAAAATGACCATCCCTCGGGGATGCTGTAAAGGAATTTCTTGCAATATATAAAGAGAATGAACCAGATAATCTCTAAGGGCTTTTCCAGCTCTGAGTTTATGGTGACATATTTGTCCTCTAAGGACCCTGAGAATTAAATTATTTTATGCAACTGAAACTGTGGAAGAATGAAACAAACAGTTCAAATAATGATAAAGGTATGTGGCAGACAACAGAGATTTACTCAACAAGGAATACCAGCCAACACTGACCAAAATAATTATTAAGTATTTATACTTACTAAAATGGAAAAAAATGAATCAAATAAATCAGCTATGCTTCAATCAGGGGGTCTACACCTTTTGAAGTTTCTTAGACACACCATCTCTGAGTTTGTCTTCATTCTATGAGAAAGCATAAGTATCTTGAAAGACATATATTCATTCAAATGATCAAAAACATTGCAGAAACTGTCTTTCCAGACCCTCTCCATCAGGAGACATGATATGGCCAATAAATTATCATAGGTTAGTTTACTTTCAACTCAGAGGCACATCCTGGCAAAGCTGTATATACCAGTCCCCACCCATACCCATCAGACCATGTTCATACCCTGAACTCCCTTTTCAATTACAGAGTAGTTTCTACAGAAATTTAGGTCCAACATGTTTTAAAATTCTGTATATATAACACTTAGCTATTCCCAAATAGTTTGCATATGTTAATTTCTCTCATACACAGTTGGTCTTATTTGCATTTCTCAGATGGCTTGTCAAACCATGTAATTTCTGCACTCTAATTTAAAACCACATTTCTATCCAAATATATATGCTCCAAAAATTTAGTCTACCAGTTTCATTAGAAAAAGTCACAAGGCAAGAAGACTTTCTCATACACAACTCAGAAATATGGCTAAAAATTCCCTGAATTTGTCATTACATATATTAGTATGTACATAGTTTTTTTTTTTTTTTTAATTCGGTAGGTTAACAAAAGCCATTCTCTGCATATACTACAATCACTTGTGACAGATGAACTGCAGGAAAACTCTGAAATGCTATATTAAAAAAAATTGAGTCTGAAAAAATGTATTTTTAGTGTCCATGGAAACTCAAAAAAGTTGCTGGGAAGGTTTTATTTTCCCTTAAGATAATATATATATATATATCTTAAAAATATATATATATATATTTTTTTAAATAAAATATTATGTATTTGAATTCTAGCAAAGAGTATTTGTCCCAAATTGTATGGGGTTAGAAAGCTCTATTAGAATATCAGACAACCTATCTGTGCACTAACTCAGCACTACCGGAAAATAAATTTACAACATAACAGCATTTAGAAGCAGACAGCAGGATAAAGAGTTATGGAGCACTAGGGTGGAGTTCAGAGGTAGAATGTGTGCTCAGCATACATGAGCCTTGGGCTCAATAGCCAGCACACACATATGCACACTCTGATTGTGACACACTTTACATACTCTTCCACAGCACTACATCTATAATTTCCAGAATGCTACTCCCTCATCATGATGCTCCTTACACAAGTTTTCCTTTAATATTACAAATACATTTCCTACTTTATAGGCAGTATGTTTATGAAAGAGAGATATCAACCTCCAACTAACAGTAACAATTTTAAATTATCATAATAAGAAACTACTATCAATCTACCATTGAACCACTCCTGAACATGTTTGCTATATTCATTCCATCTGAAAATGAATTGGAAAGGACTTTCCTATTTGCCTTTTTAAAAATTATGTACTTTTCCTGTAATCACCTAATTCAGATTTCCTTTGATGAGTTCCTTGTCAATAAGAGCAAATAAGAATTTATTGTTAGTGGAAAATACCTTGCTCAAAGCAACAAAACCATCAAGAAACAACTTCAATTGGAACTTAGGAACTCCAACCCTGAGCCTTGTCAATGCCATATCACAAGGTAATATCTCAGTAAATCCAATGAGCTGTGCTGAGGTCTGTTTCTCAAAAGCTGGAGAAAAAGTTATAGAGCTCTTCCCCCAACATCCACATTGTAACTGAGTTCTATTATAATCTTGAAAAACAAGGATGCAAATGTAGTTTACTGCAACATCTCAGTTTTATGGATACATACCATGTAACCTATTCTCTTAGCATAAATATTTTTCTACTAAATATTTTTACTGAATTATCTAAGACTTAATATTTAAATACATAGCAACTTGATTAAAGGATACATGAAAACTTTCAAGCATTCTTACCTATCAAATGCTGCTAATTTTTCTAATTGAAGTACTTAATTGGAATTAGAGCCATTATACCTTTTAATACAGTTTGCATGTGCCCTAAACATTTTCCAAACCATATTTTGGCAAAGAATGAGGATTCAATCCAAATGAAATCCCTATTTCTAATACACAAATGCACTAAATTAGTTCAAAGAAATTATGTTAAGAGTACCAGATTTTATGGTCTTAATCCCATTCCTTTAGCTTTTAAATCTCATTAAAAAATCATAAAAGCTTTTCAAAACACATGAATTCATCTGACAATCTCATCCCAAAGTCTCTAAGACTGGAACAACACCACTCAACTTAGGCATCTTTATTTCCCAGTAGACCTTATTTTACTTTGAAAGCATTTCCAAAATAACCAGTGAAAAAATAAACAAATGACGATCAGATGGTATTTAGAGTCATTGTATGCTGAGAACAACATGCTTTTTCAAAGATCTGTCCTTTGATCCCAGAAATCCGGGGTTCCCTACACTACTCTCACTGAAACTTGATTTAAAAAATACCTTACATTCTGTCAAAATGTTTATCAGTACTAACCTATATTTAACTATAATTTAAATTTGCCTCTTTTTATTTATCTCCTTAGAAAATAATGTATCTGTACCTCTGAATTATTTGCCCCTCTTCTTTATACTAAAATAACCCATTTAACTACACTTCAGAAATCTGAAGCCCAGCATTTAGCATTTTGCCTGTATTTATGTGATCACTAGTAGCAAGGATACTTGATATATCTGTTCCCTTATGTCCCTTACCAGTTCCTTCAAATCTTGTCAGTACATAGACTTTCAGATAACAAACATCCTTTCCAAACTTGGTCATAGTTTAGAGACCTAGAAAGAAACTAAGAGATAGATTTATCTGGTAGAATGTTTCTTTAATATTAATGTCCATAAAAATTGCCGAGAGCTTATTAAAACAAAAAGTGAGCTTGCCATGGTGCCAAGGATCTCAGCTACTCAGGAGGCTGAGGCTGGAGGATAGGAAGTCCAAGGCCAGCCTTGGCAACTTAGCAAGACCCTATCTGGCAAACAAAACACATAAAGTGATAGGATCCTACCTTCAGAGTTTCTGGTTCATAAGGTAGTTCTAACAAATTCTAAATTGGATGCTACTGGTCCAGGGATCACCTTTTGAGAATCACAGTTTTGAGAGAGCAGTTTTCAACTTTGGCTTCACATTGGAACTGTCTGGGGGCACTTTTAAAAGAAACCTAATCACAAGCCCTATCCCCACAGAACAATCCAAGTGGTCTAGGTGAGGCAAAAATTTTCCTCAGGAGGAGAAAACTTGTAAAATAAATTGGCAATAAATTATCTGGGGAAAAAATGCATATCTTTTAAATCTTCTTGGCAATTACACTAGATGTCTACAATGCTCCATTCTCTCCCAACTATAGTTAGAGCTTCAGAGACTCGGGTATGTGAGGAGTAGAACAATGAGTCACTGGCAGGACAGACTGAAGGAGGAGGGACTAAAAAGTCTGAAAATCTGTTTCAATATGGGGTAAAGAAATAATATGTGTAAATTTTATAATATGCTTGAAAAGAAAGCAAAGAATGAAATAGTCACTGCTATATTTTGGATCTTAAAAATCTTCCAAAGGCCCTGTGTCAGAAGTTAAATCCCCCACCTTGGGAGGTGGTAGAACCTTTAAAAAGTGGCTCCTAGGGCTCAATGGTAGAGTGATTGCTGAGCATGTGTGAGGTACTGGGTTTGATCCTCAGCACCATATTAAAAAAATAAACAAGTCTCCACCTATAACTATGGGGGAAAAAAAAGTACACCTAGAGAAAGTAAGTCAGGTGAGTGGGTGCGGGGGAATGACCTTCAAGGGGATAATGGGATCCTGGACCCTTTGCTGTTTCTTGTGGAGAACCATCCATGGGCTGTGCATGAACTACATCAGTATCATAGCCTAGTGAATAGGAGAATCTGGTGTCTGGGAACTTCCAGTGGAAATTTCTTTTGGCCAGGACCACCCAAACACATGTGACCCTATTCAAGCTCTGCCCCAGGTCCCACACAGCACAGGACATAGGGTGTCCTGCTGCAGCCACACAGCCTCTCAGAGATGGGTGTGACCTGCCAAGATGCCAATCAACCTGTTGCTGCAAGACATCAAGAAGCAAGACTCCACCCATGAAGCCTTATCCCTGCCTTTGTTGTACCCCCTTTAAATAAATCAGGGGACCATTTTCTAATTGTCCAGCTTCAGCTCCTGTGTGGGCTGGGCCTATCAGATGCTCTCCTTTAAAACTATTTTTCGGACTCCGTCTTTCGTTCTCCACTAATTATTTGTGACTTATTTTCTCCCATGGTCCTTTTTCCATCCTACACAGGAAAAGACACCCTGGTGAGGCGCTGGCAGCCTCCCCATAGTTTCTCTCTTTCACTTCCTGGCCATGATACCATGAGCAGTTTCCTCCGCCACATGCTCTAGCCATGATGTACTTCCTTGCAATAAGGCCAACTGATCAAGGACTGAAACCTCCAAAACCGCAAACCAAAATACTCTTTTCTTCTTTTTTAATTGATTATCTCAGATGCTCTGTCACAGTAACAGGAAGCTCACTAAAATACTTATTATAAATTAAAATTCAATACCATGTAACAACACTGGACATCTGATGGAGGTCCAGAGTGGGAGTCAAATGAATTCCAATTTTGTTCCTATGCTAATATAATACCTTACAGTTTTGTAGCATGTGGTGCATAGTAAATACTTATACAATAAATATAATGTACAAAAATGCAAATTATATGAAAAATTTCAGATATTTATACATATTCTAAGATGATAAAGACTTTGAGCTGGCCCAAGTGGTGAAGGAGTGGCTAGAACTCAGTAGTATATAGATGGAAGGACTTTTGATTAACTGTTCAGCATATTCTGCAATTTAATGGCTTTAAAAAACATTAAGGTTTTATTTCTTGAGATTTTGTTGGGGATTCTTGTATTTCATGGTGTTGGCCAGCACAAAGATGGCTGGAAGGTCCAAAATGACCTCATTTGTTCATTATACTGCTGGCTCATAACTTCTTCATATGAGAGTCAGTGTGGTGCTTTGAGTGTCCTCAATGAACATGGTGGCTGGATTCTAAGACAGTGTGTTATAAGCACAAAAATTAAAGCTGTGGACTTTTTAGGGCATAGCATTTGAAGTTACACAGTGCTGTGTCCATGAAAATCTATTAGTCAAGGGAGATACAAGGCCAGCTCAGATTCAAAGGGATGGGATGCAGAGAACCCCTCTCAGTAGTGAAATGACGAAGAATTTGCAGCTATGTTTAATACACTACTATCCATAAATAATTCCATAAATCTTCCATAAGTAACTTACATCTCTTCTCCACAGAAAGCACAGTAGCCCTCTCCCCCAACATTCATATACCATCACATCAAATTCAGGCTTAAAGGCCAGGCTTGTGTCTTATAAATCAGGGCAGCATCCTTAAGATTTTTAGAAGCCGCTCCATGCAGCAGAGATATCTAGGAGGTTATCATATAGGGTTTTATAGCTGTGTCCTTGCTTTTATTTTCACCTTGAGACCAAGTTTTGCTGGTAATAGTACTCTGGATCTGATCTTTGGACCTGAGACCATTTCCTTCTTTGAGTATCTTTTGTTGAGTAGAGAAGGTTGCTAGGAATAAGAAACAGTTTTATTTCCATTTCTAGAAAATTCTGGATTGGAAATATTTCCTCTAAAGTCTGCTTACAATCTGGACAGTTTGTTCTTTAATGCATCTCTTTCTTGCAAAACTTTGATCATAGGTGGTTAAAAAATGAAGTTATTAGTTGGTGCTTTCAATATTCTGCTGACAAATCTCCTACCCTAGATCCACAAGGTTGTTAGGTTCATTTTCTATGTGATTTGTAGGTGATGGTTCAGCCTATTTTTCTGCCAATAAAACATAAGAGTGCTATTTTATATCCTCCAATAGCAATTTCCTCACTGACCTTTATACACCATTAATACTAGTTTTACTACCCTTCAGACCTTCACCGCTTCCTTTTCCCAAAGCCAATGCCAGATGTTTTGTTATGGTAGTACCTCACTTCTAGGTACCAATTTTTGGTTTTACTTATTTATTTTGTGTAACAAGCCATACCAAAACTTAGTGATTAAAATAATGATTCGCTGTATCTGATAATTCTGTAGGATGATGAGGCAGTCTCATTTCGCTTGGTATTCATTGGGATGCTGGGGTGGCTAGAAGGTCCAACATGCCTCTATGCCACACTGGTACCTGGGCTGCCTGCTTGTTGCGGGGCTCAACTTGTGCTATTGACTGGGCCCTTGGCAGTCTCCACATTGATTCTTTAAGCTTCCTCACAGCAAAGGGGAGGTTTTGAGAGGGAATGTTCTATGCATACAAATTCAGAATTTGCAAGTCTCTTAAGGCCCAGTCTTAGAAATTACTACACCCCCACTTCTGCCACATCCTGTTGATCCAAAAATATAACAGAGCCAGTAGAGAGTCAAAGGCAGGGAAACAGATGGGAGGAGTTGCTAAGTATTTGCAGTCACTTTTAATTCATCATAGGATGCCATAAACATTTAAGTAGCCAATGGTTCCTCAGTAAAGTAGTCTTTGAGGAAAATAATTTAATGAGTGAAAACCAAATCTCTGTCCATATGAGGAAGGATCATCAGATGAAGAAGAGTAAAAAAGGACAGAGAAGCAGAATTAGTGAGGTAAAGAAAAAGCAAATATTTCTGGGGCACATAAATCTAATTTCATGGAAAGAAACTGACATAGTCAAATTATAGAGGGAAGGCAAAAAATAGAAATGTGTCACTACTATTTAGCAATTTCCTACCCCAAACTGTAAAGTAGAAATGGGTCTGTGAAACAATCATACACAATATTCTAAAGAGTATGAAACTCTCTGAAGCCCCAGGAGAAAGTTATTGATAATAAACTGCAGAAAAAAATAAATAAAATAAATAAGTAAGTTACAGAATGAATTAAGACCATAGGAACAACTCTAGAAATCCTAGTGGAATCTGAGTTCTTCTGAACTTTAAGGAACACCATTTCACTTTTCTTGGTTTCTGGTGATAACAGAATACATCATATATCTAATTTAGGTGAAAATTTTCTTTTTAGGAAAAGACCTCAATATGTAACAGTTACATATTGAAATATTTATACCAGAACATAGCTTCCAGTAGCTGGATAATTCTTAGAAGGTATTGAGGCTGGGGTTGTGGCTCAGTGGTAGAGTGCTTGCCTAGCATGTGTGAGGCACAGGGTTCGAGATTCTCAGCACCACACATAAATAAGTAAAATAAAGGTCCATTGACAACTAAAATAAGTGAATATTCTTAGAATGTATAAAACAGAAGCCAACATCAAATCCTCCAACTTTCATGGTTTTTAAAAATACTTTCCGACACCCCACTCAAGTAAGCAGGCCATAATAAAGTAGGGCCAAATCTCTCTGCAGTCTCTGGGAAACCACACCATAGCATTCCATTTCTTCTCTTCAGACTTCCACACGTGACCTACCTGTCCCAAGAGCAGAATTATATGTCCTATTTAATCCAGGAAGACCCCATTGAAAACAGGGTTCATTTTCTATAAATAAAGAAACAATTTCAGACGCATTTTAGTGGCTTCACTATAATCATGGGCTTAGAACTAAGGGTCCTAATTTGAAAAGATCTGGGAGCTTAGTGGCATACATTTTGGATACCTAATTAGTAATAGGTCTTCCCATAAAACAAATGTAAAATTGTAAATAGTTGGAGAAATTTTCATTAAACTATAAATTTAAATGAAAGACATATTTTAGCTTTTGTGAGATCTAATAATACTTAAAAACATAATGTTTATTAATTGCAGAGGCTAGATACCACGAAGGCATATGAAAAGAATATTGTCTCGAGTCATCTGTGGGCTGTGTGTGCACTGTGCTGCACATTGTAGCCTAACAGATAGGATAATCTGGTGTCTAGGAACTTCCAGTAGACATTTCCTTTGGTTGACTGCCCAGAGTCATGGTGAATTTCTATTCCACTCTGCCATGTCCCACACAGCCTCTCTAAGATGGGTGTGACCTGCCAAGATGTCAATTAACCTGTTGACTGCAAGACATCAGGAAGCAAGACTCCACCCCTGAAACCTTACCCCTGTCTTTGATGTACTCCCTTAAATAAACTACAGGAGCCATTTTCTAGTTGTCTAGCTCCCATTCCTGTGTGGACTAGACTATCAGGGCTGTCTTTAAAACTATCCTTTCTGACTTTGTCTTTTGATCTTTTCTAATTATTCTAGACTTTAATTTCTTAGGAGGCTTATCCCTCTGAGCAGTCAAGAATACCCTGGTGAGGTGCTGGACACCCTGCGATAGAATATGAGGGCTTCTCTCTCCTTTCCCAGGATCATGATCCCACTGTAGAGAAGAAATGCATAGTTGAATGTTGTATACCACCTAATACTGTCATTTCAGTGCCCAAATGAGTGGGATGATGGGGTAAATCTAATAAATATTACATTTGGTTCTACTCAAATGCCCAGAGAATAGCTGGAACATCACTGAACGGCATCGTCAACCAAAAACAGAGGGAGATTTTAGTCTGTTCATGCAATAAATACTTAGAAAGCCTGTTATGTACCAGGAGTTCTAAGAGTTAGAAAAATAAAGCTGTGCAAGACAGAACAACTCTCTGCTCTTTTGGATTTCACTGTTGTGAGGGAAGAGACAATAACTAACACACAGCACAATACAGATCAGAAATGCCATAAAGACTAGAAAGCTGCTGTAGACCGGGGGTCTGGGAAGCCTCTTTAGAGGAACTACTGTAGATGGAGAATGAAACAAAGCCAATCACAGGACAAGTAGAAGAGGCTCATAGATGAGTAAAGATTAGAACAGAAGCCACTCTGGCTGGGATGTCAGGAGCCTGGGGAAAGGAAGAGAGTGATAGGTTTCAGCCTAGGGAAAGAGTCTGTATAACAAATCCAGGAGTGATGGAAGAGCCACAGAGGGTCGGTCAAATAGAGGGTCAAATAGAGGGATGGCAAGAGATGTTATCAGCTTTAAAAATTTTACAGTCAATTTGAAGAATCAGCATGGAAATATGGACATACCCAAAAATTCAAAGGATTTTTACCTTCATCTATAAAAAGAAGAGTGTTCAAAATGTAGTAGGTAACAGACCCACTATCCTCACCGCTGTTCACCTGGGCTATATGTCCAGAACTGGGGGGTGCTTTAAGACACATGCTGTAATCACAACACTGGAAAGCTGTGCTATTTAACACCATGCACACTCATCATTCATCTTGTCAAGGTCAAGAGCCCTGCCACAGAGCTAACTTAAGGTTAATCTTGCACAATTAGAAGAAGAGTTTCTGCAGGAAGCACATAAGATAGGGCTTGTTTATTTCTGATTTTGCCTACCCAAGGAAAGCACGGCCACTCTTTATTCACAGAAAAATGATGTGTTGATTCTATGCATTAAAAATGCTACCTCAGACAAAACTCAGGAGACAGGGACTTAATTCCTCAGACCTTTAATGTCAAGAAAGTGACAAATACACCCTCCCCCCTCCACACACACACACACGTATACTTTCCTGCTTGCAAAACCCACAAAGGACAGGAAAATGACATTTTTATTAAAATACATTCTAATTTCAATTTTAGCTTCACTGGTTTAAAAACACTAAAATGATTTTACTCAAAACATCTGTAAGAATATCAATCTCTTTCTGTACTTAACTTGCCCCAAGCTACCAACCTAATTGTAATTATTTTTACCATGTGTTCACAATTCAGGATGTTAATCTTACCCTATGAATGCTGGTCAACCAGAAACTCTGCAATTAGTTTCAATTTGAGGAATTCCTAAAGAGAAATCATAAACATATTGTCATATTTTATGTATCAGAGGACTACAAGATAATTTATCCACTTATATGGTTCTAAAATTTCTAACATATATTATAATTTTATGAAACAAAGATGAAAAAGACAACTTCTTTAAAAAGTGAGGGGTGTTAAAGACATCACCTTCGGGTCCTCTCACAAAAGCTGTCAACTGATACCCAGGGAGAGAAATCACATCCCAAGTTACACATTTAATCTCAGCACAACAGTAATTCACAAAGCATCCAATTTTTAGTGGAGAATGAAATGAGTATTATTGCTGAGGCACCAGTCACTTTACTATAGAAAACTTCACTGAAAACATGTGTACTTCTTAGGATACACAGGGGACATGGCAGAAAAAGACTGGGTGTCTACGACAGTTTTCTCCATCCAGCTTTGACGTTGATTTTGTTGTTTGCTTACCCACTATTTTTGCAGTTACACCATTGTTCAATCCAGTGGCACAACACTTAGGTCTGTGTTTGTCTCCTATTATATATTATGGGCTTTCCTGTTGTTTAAGTTTCTCTTAAACATCATTTTTGATAGAAGCGTGATAGTTTGTACATGGATATGTCATAGTTTACAAACTCTCTTCCCTACTGATCATAGATTCTCTTTCTAAAATTACTAACAATGCTGTCAACATCTCCATACTCTGTTCATGTGATTTCTTTTACACAGAATTCCAAAACAAGAGCACTGAGTCAAAGAGCATGAACCTTTTAAGCCTCAAATTACAACAACTTGTTTTCCCAAGAAAGTTATACCGATTATCTTTTTTGCAAACAATATATCACAGCATTCTCGATAGATTTGAGTTATCACTTAATACTCCTCACCAAAATACACACACACACACACACACACACACACACAAAAGAAAACAAACAAACAAACAAAAAACCTTTGCCAATTCCACACATGAAAAAAACGACCTTACTGTTGTTTTATTTTGCATTTCTTTGAGGTAGGCTGATCATTTTCCATCATGTTAATAAATGAGTGTCAGTCCTCTTTTCTGTTTAGATTTAAGCCCGAGGAATATTTTGCTGAGAAGATATAAATGTAGAACTTAAAGAAAGTGCTCATAATGATTACTTGTCATCTCAGGGGGAAGCCATGGCTGTCAAGCAAGAGGAACAACACAATGTGGCTCTGTTTCTTTATACAGGCAAAAAATGAAATCATTCAAACTAATTTTAGAAACTGTAGCAAAAGTTATCCTCTTTCTTCCTCCTCAGAAGAACACAAAAGTACCAAGCTGGAAGAATGAAATGTAAAAATACTAAATGGCAAAGCTTCTCAGAATAGAATAAATCATTCATATTAGGCAGGATAAAAGAGGACAAAGACTGTCACAGCAATTCTGACAGACCCAGCTGCTGAGACAGGCGGCTGCTTCAGTGGCTCTCCAGCATGCTATGCTAATGAGTGTTACCAAACTAGCTTACTCTACCCCCTCACAGAGGCATTTTCTCCCCAGGGGCAGGACACATGACATGTGCATTTTAACTTAAAAAGTCAATTCTAAGGTAACCTAAAAATGTGTTCTGGAAGATTTGCACATAAGAAGCATAACATTAAAAATTTCCTTCTTTTTTTAAAGAGCTCCTTTCCTGAATTCCCAATAAGGAAATCTCCTAAGTGACTAAGGATTAAGGATAGCAGGTGATAATCTGCTTTCTGATAGAAAAACAAAAGGGCCCAAGGTTTTCACTGTGAAAGCAAATGAGTTTAGATGTTCGTACTTCCTTCTGGTAAATAGAGATAGAGGAGGTGGACCAAACTTACACTGAGATAGAGCAAACAATTACTGGAATCTGAGACGGGTTTTCCATTTGTGTGTTTGTCTTACTGTGAGGTTACATAAAATCTTAGGAAAGATCTAGCAAGATGTCAAGAATCTTTTTCTTGTTGTTGTTCGTTTTGAGGTGCTGGGCATGGAAACCCAGGGCCTCCCACATGCTAGATAAGGGCTCTACCACTGAGCTACTACCAGACTGAAGTCAAATGACCAGTAATGGGTAAATGTGAGGTCCTACAACGTCACTTTGCAAGTCTGTTCTGCCTGGAGTCATAGCAATATCGTACTCATTCACTCTGCCTTGTGCTATCTATGTTTTAGGCTTTAAGTTACATAAAATTAAAGTCTCCCCTATCATCAATTTGAAAAATTTAAAACCAAGAACTTAAAAGAGGGACTTTCCACTTCATCATCTGTTCTATTCTGGAATTGCCTCTACAAGCCACTCTGACCATCACAGACTGAATTCATGGCTCCCCTTTCTCTGTTCCAGGGACACATTTACGAATATTTCTCCCACACTACTTTATGGTATTTGTTAAGCTATTGCCTCAAATCCTTGAGAGCTGGGGCAGTGTCTTTCTTATCTATATTCCAAGGATCTATCCCAGTGTGTCCAGTATCCAGTATCCCAGGGCTGGATTAAAAAGTACTAAAAGTGATTGGGGGGCAAGATAAGGAATCTGGCTATTTTCTTAGGGTCAGTTGAGATCCTGGGAACTGGTGTAAGGGGGAACTAGAGGGGGTTCTTTGGCTAGCCTCTTTCCATACAATGTGTGGCTTTTTCTCTTTTTAAAATATTGTGAATAGCTGGGCGTTGTGGTACACACCAGTAATCCGAGTGGCTTGGGAAGGTGAGGCAGGAGGGTGGTAAATTCAAGGTCAGCCTCAACAAATTAGTGAAGCCCTAACACAAAATAAAAAATAAAAAAAAGGGTTGGAGATGTAGCTCAGTGTTTAAGCACCCCTGGGTTTCATCTCCAGTAATAAATAAAAGTTGGAAACAAATATGTAAAGTATAATGGTCTAAAGTGACATTGAATCTTTAGCTGGCCCAGAGTAACAAAAGATTAGCTTACCTAGGGAGCTCCCATATCTGATTTTGCTCATGTCAGCACCATGTATATTCAGTAAGTCGTGTTGAGTGAATACATGACCCAGACCAGGTTTCATTACCCAGTTAGAAACCAGGTGAATGGAAGAGGACTAGCTTTCAGATCTGTGAACAGAATTGGTGCCTACAGACTGTGGGACTGGAAGGATGACAAAAAATGTGGTAGGGACAGAGCCTCAGGTGTTTTCATGACCCATGGCAGGTGCAGAGATCAGCAGCAGAGGTTAAGCCTTCATACTTTAGGAAGAAGAAAAATTCATACTTGCCAATTTATATACCAAACATGACATCTCACATATCTGAATGTAGGACTGCTGTCAAATTCAGCATGACTGGCTGCTTTATAATGACTGCCAGTCATTTTGAATTAGTAATGGACCACTGGATAAATGCCACAGCATTTCTAAGTGACCTTAATATCTTAGTAATTTATGATTTCAAAACTACTTTTTGCAACAGCTAGTCTTATAATGCAACAGGAATAAGGCTAAGATAGAATTAGCAAGTTATCACCCAAATGAGAATGTAATACATTGTACTGTTCTATGCTTGCTTTTTGTCCTGTTTGCTCCTCCTGAGATCATAAGCTCTGGGAGGGCAAGGATATTTCTTATCTTCTAAGGCCTGCCACATATTAGATGCCCCATAAATATTATAATTCCACCATGCCATGAGCTATGATCAAGCTGACAATACTGCAACATATTCTCAATAATTACCTGTGCATGACAAGGGGTGGTGGGAAACAGAGAGGGGAAGGCTAATATTTACTGGGTACTAGGTAAGGTGAGGTGGGTATTATGATCTCAGCTATGAAGGAGAGAAAGCTGATGAGGATCAGAGGAACTAAGAAACTTGCTCAAGCTCATAAGCAAACTCAGAATTCACACCAGTTCTGACTAAGAGCCATCTGCTACATGGCCTCTCCAAAAGCTATATAAAACTGAGTTTTTATATAGATTGTGACATCTCTCTTTTTTTAAATTTCTACAATCCATCTTTTAGAGAAAAACAGGAGACAATTTAAAAATGAGATTTACGCTGTTTTCTTCGTCATTGCTCAGTATAGTGAAACAGAATAAACAAGAGCTTCTTCACCCTGCCTGCCTATTAAATAATTAAGATTGATGAGATATTTAGCCGGGGCAAGGATGCATCCTGCTACACAATTTCACAGAGAAACATTTACCCACCAATTTAATAACAAGATGAATAACTTGAATTTAATATATATTTAAATGATGTTTTACATGGCTTTTCTTCCTGGTTTCCACCAGGAAGTTAAAATAAATTAACACAATATCACCTAAACATGACTGTATCTTTGAATAGCTTAATGAAGGAGCATACCTTCTGTATGTTAGTTACTTTGTTAGCCTTAGATTTTATTCTGAATAGCATTTGAGAGACCCAGAAGAGAGGTCAGTTGAATGGATAAAGGCAGAATTCTGTTTCTGTCATTTACCACCTGTGTTTGATCCTAGCTATGATAAGTATCAACTTCCTCATCTGTAAAATAGTAATAATGATGGCTTTTACCAAGTGGAACCGTTTTAAGAATAAGGGGATTATAAATCAAATGATTAGCACAGGAGCAGTTTCTAAATAAGCACTTGAAAACAGTAACTTATTAACAGAATAGTGTCATTATCTAAAGTTGGTCCTTTAAAGGTTAGCTTTCAAGTGTTATCATGTGAACAGAAATCAGAAACTTGATATTAAGGAGTTTGGTTGTCCACGTAACTTAGTGATTTCCAACCTTGGTTTGCAATATATTTGAGTCCAGTTACCAGAAAGTGCTGTGAAATATGTCAGTTTTCTCGACTGTTTACTCTATGGACCTTAGGGAAGATAAAGTGTTGTGAAACTAAAACAATACGCCAATCCAACATTTAAAGAGAGTTAACCTGTACAACGCATCACTTTCTGATACAATATCTGCCAGCCCAGTCAAGACTTCTATCACAGACAAGTCAGACTTGACTAGTACCGACCCAAAACAGGGCTGTTTCAAAAATTTATAATCTCAGTTGCATAACAATATGAATGTGCTTAAT